TGGACTCGAACACAGCCAAACTGACTTCAACACTGTCACTTGGATACAACTTTACAGTTTGGTGAGACCAAATGGCAGCAGGCAGCTCACACTGAATTTTTCAGACTGCAAAGAACTGTGTGACCAACCTACAGATGAAGTAAGACTTCATCAGAACATAGCACATAGCAGTAAAAGTACATGTGTTCAACCTCTTTACTCAAGTAAAAGTATAAAAGGAAAGGCTCTTAAATGAACTCAAAGTATAAAAGTACCACTCTGAGGGCCGTTTCTAACAACTGTACCTGAGCAAAGTGAACTGAGACTCATGTCACATTTATAAACTGTAGTTCATTTATATAAACATTCAAAGACTTTTTAAATGAAACCACTCCTGCTTCAAACCAAATAAAAACATATACCACAGACAGGGGTTGATGCGAGAAAAGATTTGTGAGAATGAAAAATTGTCCAGGAGGAAATATGTCGACACAACACATTCTGATTTTCAAGAGGCCCTTGTGTAGTTTCAGCTACTGTTTATTTATATCCTATAGATCTTCATGATAAAGTTTATCTCAAAGGACTCAGGGCTGAATGATGCAATCATGTTGTTCACCTTCAGGCAGGACAGCGTCTGTCACGACTCAGTCTGATGTTCTGCAGGCCTCAGATCTGTCCCCACGCTCCACTGTGGAGCCACAACTCTCACGTATGAACTTTCACAACAAACACACAAGTGGCTTTATGAAATATATTTAAAGTATTCAGGCCCCTCTATGCATTGGGGCTTACAGGTTTATTAACAGAATGAGCTAAATGATGGTAGAAATAAATTAGTACCACATAGGTCAGTGCTTCTTGTTCTGCTTCTTGATGTTGTTATAATATAAAATACAAAGCAATGTAAATTTCACCAAAAATTAAATTGACTGTTATTGAACAGAATAAAAACACCCTCATATTAACATTTGGATGTTTATATTCTGTAAAGCTGCAATCTTATTAAAACTGAGTTGAGTTAAAACATAGATGAAACCAGATTAAGGTTAAAAGACAAAACCATCCCACATCTTCTCATTATGTGCGTTTCTTAAAAGCTTTTTCCATCCACAACAGTAAAAATAAATTCCTCCATGCTGAGGGCCCACCGGTGATTTGTTCACCACTAAGATGTCGGCTACAGGAACGATCCACCGCTGCGTGAACATTTCACTGATCGCATCACTGCAGCAGTGTGTCCCTGCCTGAAAGTCGTCCTCCAAACCACCAGCTTTTGTTTCGGTCTTTATGTTTTTCACTTTGAGAACCTGCTCGTACTGATGAAGAGCTCAGCTTTGACTGATGAGCTTTTACAGCCATTACGGGCGGAAAGGTTTGTATTTCTAGAGCAACATCACTGTGAGCTGGAATCTAAGACTAATATCACGGTTAGGTCAAAGACTACAAGCCAAAGCTGTTTGAATGAATACAATATTAATACAAATACAATCCCATACTACTGAAAATGCATTTATAACCTACATGTACTTGCAAGAATATCCTCCTGTTCCAATCCACACACATAATCCACTCCTGGTCAGATCAACATTTTATAGATGAGTCTTAGAGAAACCGACATGTTGTTATTTTCCTCCTGAAAATCTGCACTGGAGGAGCTGATACTGAATTTATGTAAATGTACAGTACATGTCCATTTTTATCACTTTTGTGCTACAATATCAAAGCAGTTGTTTTTTATGTTTCCATCGTTCATCATCGGCCTCATGCAGAAAATTGTAAAACTGTAACAGAATCACTGGATGTGACTGGAAGCTGAAAACACATATGAAGCAGTAACACTTTTCCTTTTCATGGTGACATTTAGTATTCAAACCCCAATGCTTGCTACTTTTCATACTTTTTATTAAAACATCACATTTTTGTACATTTATTTTCCCATCACAATCATCAGGACTTCCTGTCGAGCACACATCTCTCTTTATATCTGTTTGCTCATCTGTTTAGAGTGTAGGTGAACAGCTTCGACAAAAGCGCCCACATTCTCTGGGTCCATGTCGGGGTAAAGGCCGTGGCCCAGGTTGGCAATGTAGCCCCGTGTGCCGAAACCCTCCAACATCTTCTTCACGATGTCGGAGATGTGCTCCTGAGGAGAGGAGGAGGAGGAAGAAGAGGAGGGAAAGAGTTAACGATCAACTGGCAGATCTTTTAGAAGACTCATGCTTCAACAGACCCTTGTATGTTTTAGAGAGTCTGGGTATCGGAGTATGACGACAAGGTTAACTTTTCTAAATCTTTTTGTATGGGTTTTAGTTTTAAACCAATGTGTGAGTGTTTGGTACAGAACCAAAAAAAGTCAGATCTAGTCATTTTAAATGTCGTCTTACTGAGTTTCACTCTGGTTTCAGAAGTGTTTTGTCTTTTTCCTAAATGGACAAACTTCTATAGTATTTCTGTCTGTGTGTAGCAGCTCTAACCAGAGTGGGAGTGGAGGTTACCTTTGGAGCGTAGAGAGCACAAGGGTCCATGTTTCCCTGCAAGCTGACCTTCCCTCCTGTGCGCTCCCTGAATACACACAGACACACATCACAGGACACACGGGTAATCCTTTAACCGACAGGGTAAGTATTTGATGAGTAGAGCAGAAAACACGTTGTTGACTTATATGCTGCACCCTGTGACAGACCAGGGCCGAGGGAGAGGTCAGTAATGGTTAACCTGCTCCTCAGGAAACGCCACGGTAGGGTTCATGATTCCTGCTACAACCAGCTACATCCTGAGTTGGATTCAGCTTCAAGGGGATTTTACAATTCTCTGACAGGTGACAATTGAGGCTTAAGTACAGAGAAACCACAACCACATGAGACAACCAGGTTGAAATTCCAACTTCTCTGACAAACAGCTGGTGAGCTGATGGGGAATATTTAACACAGAGCTCAGTGCAGAACAGAAATGCTCACAATGGAGTTAAAAGATTCAATTTGTATTTAAAGTAATGGGTCATTTCAATTTGTGTTTTTTAGTCCCATGTTGTCATATTAAGACATTTGCATAAATATTGAGAATTCATCACTAATAAACTCAAATAGCTCTTTGTATGTGTGCCTGTGTATGTGTGCCTGTGTGTGTGTGTGTGTGTTACCGTGCTGAGCGTGGGTCAATGGTCCAGTCCAGCCCGACAACCTCGTAATGAGACTGAGAGAGATCCTCCAACCCGTAGTGAGCATCCTTTGCAAACACAATCTGGAACACACACACATTTTCAAAGCACTTTTCATCTTCCTGTGCCATTTTTGCTGAAAGGCTGCCACCTGCTGGTCGTCTAGTATAAACTGGTTTTCATCAGAACGAATGCATCTGTAATGATCTCTCTCGGGAAACAAAGTTGAAGCAGAAGTGTGTCGATATGAATAGATCAGAGAATTTAAACTAATATAGAAGCCAATTATTACAAAAGAATACCAACAATAATGCAATAGATAAATAAATAAAAACAATTGTTGCTGTTGTTTACTTGAGGCCGATGTGTATGTGTACATAATTAGCTCATATTTATAAACTGGGACAGAAATATCTCTCTCTTTTCCGTCTCTCACCATGGGAACATCCTGCCCTGACTCCTTCAGTCTATCTTTGACACGGCGGGCGATGTCTCGGAGGTAAGGCAGAGAGAACTCTTTAAACTCGACGGGTCCCAGGATTCCAGCGTGGGACTCGAACACCTGAAGGGCCTGAACATCGCAAAGCAGCAGAGGAAAGAATCAAGGTGAGTTTTTAATCACAATAATGAATCACATTTACAAGCATTTGAATCAATTCATAAATCCAGAGAAACAGAAAGGTAAATATTTAATTTCATGTAAATATTTCAACTTTATAATATACGACACCAGTGGTGCACCAGCTATTCATCAATTAAATCGCTGACTTGTATAAAGATCATCCTGAGATTATATTGAACCCCTGGCCAATTACAAATGAACCAACTCAGGTGGATCCATTAAATCTTCAGGAATGTTTCAGCGAGTAAAGAATTCAATGATGTGCAAATTGGTTGCTAGGAAACAGCAATGACCAAATAATAATTAACAAACAGACCTCTCTTCTTAAAATAAGAGAAAATTGTTTATTTCATTTTAACTGTGTAAATGTTGGTTTAACTTTGTTGTATACATATCTGCATAGAGGCAGGTTTGTTTCAAAGTTAGTGCTGTGTTAAGAATTGACATTGTTTTAACTTTTCAGTGTAAAGCAGTTGATTTAGTAAAAACAAGTTGCTTCATAAAGAAATGGTTTGTGAGGGGAAATTGTGAATTTATCACTTCATAAATCTCAAATTACATCACAACTCATATTTATTTATTTATGTATTTATTGTTTAAATTATATTTAGTTTAGAGTTGGTTTCTTCGAAGAAACGGTTTGTTTTTCCATCTGCTAAAGAGCCACCATAGAGCTACATCAATACATCACTGTATATGTCTCGATAAAAACAAAACAACACAGGGAGACGACACTGTGTCTCCAAACATTTAGATGGAGAATTTTAAAAATGGTGGACACACAGTTTACGTTGGGTCAGGATAACGCAGCCCCCAGCCGTTCTTGTTCTACAAAATCAAGTGCTGATCTCAAACCAGTTTTCCTAATTGAGAGTTTTGTTCAAGAGCTCTAGTCCAAGATTATCCACCAGCTCTGAGGTCTGCTCTTCATGCTTTTTGTTTTAAATGATAAGCTCCACACATCAGAAAAGCCTGCCTGCTATTCCTCTCACAACAGGTCACAAAAAAAGACGGGTGTGTCCCAATAATGGTGCGAAGTTCTAACCTGAGCTCCTGCTGCCACCTGCCCCAGCAGATACTCCACTATCACGTCGGTCAGCATCTTCAGCAGCATGTGGCTGGACTCAGGGTGTCTGTAGAGCCAACGCTTCGCCTTAGAGTGAGTGTTAGAGCCACCGCCTTCTATCATGTAGGACATCAGCGTCCACTGAGGGACACACCAAAGAGGAAAGAGAAACAAACACAATGCTTAAATACCAATAGAATTATAACACAAGTTTGACAACATGAAGAACTTAAGCTAAATAACGTTATCAGCCAAAATCGAATTCATCCAAATCCATCAGAATACCTAAGGATGTTTTTCTTTGCATATTTGAATGAGTCTGCATCATGTCTCACCGGAGCTCCAGTGAATCCTATGAGCGGCACTTTGCCCTCAATCTTGTGTCTGGTCAGTGTGATGGCTTTGAAGACGTAGCCCAGCTCCTTGCCCACGTCCACTTTGACCCGCAGCCTCTGCAGGTCCTCTGGCTCCTTCAGGGGCTCCGGGAATGTCGGACCTTTACCTGGCACCATTTGGACGTCCATACCCAAAGCCTGCAAGATCAATGCAAGGATGAATAAAGACACAAATTGTGGCCACTAGGGGGCAGTACAAGCTGACAGATACACAGCCAACACACAACTGACTTTAGGTCTGACATCCAGTCTCTTTAGAACTCTTATAATGTTTATAATGAAAAACTAAAACATTAGGTTACAGAAACTAAAATGCTCCATAGACAAACCCCTTTGCAAGTGTAAGCGATGCTGCTTCTACTTACCCTAAAGATGTAACAGAATAATAATGTGAACATGTTAAAATAATGAGACTGGTCTGGTTACCTGTGGGACGACCAGGATGTCAGAGAAGATGATGGCAGCATCGAAGGGAAAACGTCTCAGAGGCTAAAAGTGGGAAAAAAGGGAGGAATTTACCTTTTAAAAGACAAATGAACTTGGACAAAATGAATTTGTGGTTTGTTGTCTCATGGTGACACCCTATGATGTTCTTTTAATCGCTCCTTGATCTCAACACAATGTGAAACAACTTGAAAGTGCCAGTCATGGCTGGTTTGTCTGTTAACTGTGTAAAACAGATTTTCAAAATGAGAGAAAAGAATCAAGTGTTGTACCTGCAGAGTGAGCTCACAGCAGGACTCTGGTGACCGACATGTCTCAAAGAAATCCTTCCCTGCTCTGAACTCACGGAACTCTGCGGATTAGATTCAACAAAACACAAACGATCATCGTAATGATAATGAAGTAAGAGAATTATCAGGCACATTGACAGTAAAAATGTATATCTTAGTAAAAAATTATTTGTGCTGGACAAATGCATATTGGTACATAGAAAATAAATGACACTGCGAAATAGGTTTTTGTAAAATCAAGGGATGAGATGAAAACACTGGAGCATATGCATTCTGAAGAAATAGTTCACACATACTGTTTGTAGATATATATATATTTTTTAAACAAAATTCATTTTGACATGTCAGAGCAGGAAAAGCACAAGTATAAATATTAGCATGCATTCAGGTTTATAGGCACATTGTCATGTATTACAGGGACGCTGGAGAAGACGATCCATTGTTAATGCTCCCAACTGTAACAGGTCACAATGTCTGCTGTGAAAAAGACAGTTTACCAAGTGAATTCTATATTGAACTGCAAGACAGTACCTGGTAGATATCTACCAGCCTGTCTCATACACCAGACTGGGACATGTCCAGTTTCTTCTCCTCGCGCTGCTCGCAGGAATGTATCATTCAGGAGCTGAGGAAAGTCCTTTGGACTGGAAGAAAAGAAAAAAAAGATTTTTAGGATTTTTTGTACATCCTCACACATTACTGTATACGCCACTATAAACTGTATTATGTGTGCCTGTCTAATTCCACAGATCCTCCTTTCTCTCTTTTAGCAGTACCCAAGGGTCAGGTTATAGATAAAGGACCAACCAACAGAACATTGTAGTGTCTACACTCAGGGACTTTCATATCTGACTCAGATGCTCCAGACAGAGAGACACCAACTTCAACTCTTTTAGTATTTCACCAGTGGCAAGACGTAAGAACACAATGTGTTTTAGGAATGAATAATTAGACTTAACTATCCAATAGTATGCAAACACCTACATGTTGCATAGAGAGTGACAGCAATTCTAGCCATTGATGGATGTGCTGTTAGCATGGGTGACACAAGTAGAGGGAGATATATGGGGATACTGGGGGAGACATCTTCGGACTTGGGGTTTACAATTGCTCATGTTACTCTGTCAGCGTATGTATATTGTTCCACCTTCTGGTCTCCTTGATGCATCAAGTCTACATTAAAATCTTCTGCATAAGACATCTGCTGCTGCCTGAGTTCTCCTCTAACCAGCTTCCAGAAAACTTCCATAACAAGCATCACGACAGCTGACATCTAAACAATGCGGTGAACCCAACACATCCACACAGGAATCACTTTGTGTTAGAGTCTGGGGAATATATTGATCGGCTGATAAAGATCAGCTGATATGAGTCTTGTTCTTCTTTGGGTGGACCTGAAGTCACATTCATTACTCCTACTGACTTCTTTCAATGTGTATGTTCATACAGTCTTTACTAAGCATAACAGTAGAACAAAATGATGCAAACAGTTACAAATATTGGCTTTAATGTTTGCAGTGGGGCCAAATTTAAATAGGTGGTTATGAGAATTGAGTTTGGCTGGTAACGCCCAAATGACAATAACCTGAAGGCTACAATGCAGCAGCAGAAGGCGTCTGTTATCTAAAACACAAGCGAGCCCCTCCCTCGCCTCTGCAATCGTTTTGGTCAAACAACTGAGGAGCCGTCAATGACAGACTGATTTTGGCAGATAGCGCTCCTCTGCTCTTATCGTGTCCCGGCAGCAGAGAGGACGGTTGGATGAAAGGCTGCTGTGGATTTATCAGTGATGCTTCACAACTGGACTGAAATTCAAAACGACTTTGATGGAAATCAAACTGTTAGATGAGGAGGATCAGTGCAAACTGCGAAGGAAAAAGAGTCATGTTAACTTCAGCTGACTTCTCAGACTTAGGACAAATAAATAACACTTTTACATATGCGGGGAAATTGAGAACCAGTGCCTAATAGAAATAACAACAAAAATTAAAATTAAATATGTCAAACGAAATAACAAAGTTTCATGGATATTTCAGGATACGTTGAGATCTACTATCCTTCGGTCTTTCATATAGAACAAACCCATTAATAACACTGCAGTGACAAATATTCCCAAAATAAATACTTTCTCACTAAAAGCCTGTTTGGATGTTAATTAATTGTTCATTAAGATTTTAGAAAAGACTATTAAGACGTTCACTTCTCTCTGGTGAAACACTTTCATGCCGGAGTCATCATAAGACCCGAAGTGTTCGATTCAGCTGATGATTCTTGTTAATACATGAATCCACCTTTTAAAATGAGCAAGAGAAAATTAAATTGCTTAAAACTGAAACTAACTTCTCCACAACAGAGGCCGCTGCACGTATCAGGGTTTGATTTGCAGCATCCCTGAGCTGAGACTTGATTATAAAAGATCCACTTCAAGTCTCTTTCTTGTTCAAACTATTTTCGGGAGAATGACACAGGCGGATCTCAGGTAAACACTGTTTACACAACAGCTAGTAGCCTGAATGCTAACATTAGCGGACCGCGTTGACGTTACGTGCTAACAGCAGCTACTTACAGAATGATCTCGTCCTTGCTCATGTCTGCGGGTCTGGGGATGAGTCGGACCCGTTCACACGCTCCTCTGTCTCTCTGTGGATGCGACTCACGACCTGCGGCTCCTCAACTGTCAGCGCGCCGCTTACACAACTCGTCAAGCGGCCGCAGCGCTGCTCCAGGGCGCGGCCATCTTGGAAGACCACGTGATCGACCCGGGAAGAAGGTAGGGGTGTCAAAATAAAAGACTGCTTTCTTTCTTTAAGTATTCATTCTAATAATGTGTGAGGAGTTTTTCTGTTTCATCACATTTATATTGTGTTATATTGCAAAATGGAACTGATTGTCTCTATATTACTTTGGGTAGAGTCTCTAAATAAACAGATGAAGTTAAATACAGTTTGATCAATTAAGATTTGACTTGTTTGCTTTCCTTCTTAATGTTGATCTCTAAACAATCTATGATGACATTTTCTGTTTCTTTACTTGCTTTGTATAATGTTTTGTTTGAAATAAAACTAATTGACTGCATTTTGGAGTTTCCACACTTGCAAATAAGTAAGTTCTCTTCTTGTGTTGCATGGTCTCAGAATGATTGTAAAAGTAGATATACAGCCATTGACTCATTGAATCAGTAAACTACTAACTTCTTAAATCTTTGGATGTATTTCTTCATATCATGGAAAAGGGGATATTTTTACACTCATTCAAGTTGTTTCAAGTCCAATGCAATAAGACAAATTAAAATTTGAAGCTAAAGTCATACAAGATTAATTTAATTTAGAATTATTCAGGATCATTCTCTTTACCATGAGCTAAACAAACAAAAGCACCCAACACAGAGTAAATGACAGCATATTTCTTTAGTCCATACACATTCTCATTCACATAGCTACAAGTATACAGCTCAAGTTATCTTCATGTAACAAACAGCTCATTCATTCCGCTGACACTGTATCAGGCGACCCATATGCGTATGTGCTACATTTAAACTGAAGTTACTTTTTCTTTTATACAAGAACTTCAAGAGAGCACCGAGAAGCTTCCAGTGTCAAACCCACTTACTCCAATAAGAAGACCATATTTGAAATGATATAAATGAAATGATCAAGACAAACCGATTTCACATTTTTCTCCTGTAACAAACAAAACAAGCAAAGGCTTCAGCACTTCAATATGAAGTGAAACAGCAAACAGCAGAACTAAAACAGTATTATCATTACTACATAACACCTACACGAGATGAGTGTCCCAGTGTTTGAGCAGCTTCCAGCTCATGTATATTTGCAAACTCTTTGCATGATGTTGGCTGTTTTTTTCAGATCCTCTGTACAAGGCATATATTAGAAAATATATTTAGATCTAACAGCCTGTCCATCCCAAATATTTAAATGCATGGGCAGAAGAGAATATTGTACATAAAGCATATCTCTTTTTATAATCAATTTTGTTCAATATTACTCTTCAATGTATCTCAGATTATTCTTCGGGGTATTAGTGAACAGTATTTTAAATATAGTATTTCTACACAGAGAAGGTAAGTGGGCACAGTTCATATATATACTGGATGCCCTCAACAGAAAACATCAAAAGGAAAGCAGGCAGCATATGGATGTATATAGAATATGTCATTTATAGATACAAAAATGATCTACCAATAAAAACACATATATGAAGTAGCTCCAAACATAATGAGGAGAAGTTATTTGTCAAAGTCTTTGTGAAAGTGTCTGTCTCTCTCTATGGTTGTTGTTGGTACTGTCCCTCTGTGGCAGTGTAGAAGTCACCCAGGAGGTTCTGCATGTAATCGAAGGTGGGTCTGTCCTCAGGCTTTTTTTTCCAGCAGCTCAGCATGACTTCGTAGAGCTCAGCAGGGCAGTTGTCAGGCTGCGCCATCCTGTAGCCACGCTGCACTGAGGACATCACCTCCACTTTAGTCATGCCTGAAAACAGCACAAGCACGGAGGTGTGAGGAGGAACATGTCACAAGTGAAGCTGTAGAATTAGAAGAGTTAAAATACTCCATGGTAGCACTACTAACTGAGGGTCAGGGCATTCTGTGCAAATTAAAGCTTTTCCCGTGAAGGCTAGAGATTAAGATTCACCAGTAGAGGGCAGTAAATTACAAAGTATTTGCTTCCAATGTGACGTTTTCTGTCGTCATCTCATGTTCAAGTTATTCGGAAAATGTTGGGAGCCTGAACTGTAAAGACTATCGCTTTAAAGTCAGAGTTTGGATTCTGAAAAATAAAAGAGAAACATATTCCAGAAAACATGTGTTTTAAATGTAGCTGCTTCAGTTTGATTTTAGTTTAGTCTATTTCACAAAATATACAAAAAAATACACAATGATAAATTAAATGTAAAACTGCTTACACACACATGCACATACAGCCACATCTCTCTCTAGTTGTGAGGACACTAACCCTAACCCTAAACATAATGCATTCCCTAGCCCATTACCCTAACCTAATCCATCACAAGTAAATGCCTAACCCTAAAACCTGAAGTCTTAACCCTCAAAGAGCCCACTGAATTTGTGAGGACTAGCCAAAATGTCCTCACAATGATGGTATTGAACCAAAATTGGCCCTCATAACTGTAGACACACGCCAATAAAGTAGTGTGCGTAGTGGCAGTATAGCTACAGTAATTAACAGTAGAAGACGAGGAGGTCCATCCAGAAAAAAAATTACCTCCAAAACACATGGAAGAGAATAAGAAGAAACAAAATCAGTGGCTTTGGGACAGAATTTAATTTTTAACATTTCAGTTAGCAAAGTTTTTTAATGATGGTCTGCATTCAGCAGAGTGTCAGCCACATTCAACTGTACTGTCGAAGAAGAAGACTAACTGCCTCCTCCTCAGGAGAAGGAGAAGAAGAAGGACCCAGCTGACCAGTCATGTCAGAAACACACTGACGTAGCAAACATTTAACTATCTCTCACAGATTTCAGAGAATTTGTTTTTTTTCATGGCAACAACCTGGAATTTGATTAAAATACCAAATATCCTGAAAATAATTTTCGGTCTGTTCTCAGTGAGTTTAATTTGAAATGTAACTCACTGTTGGTGAGAAGCAGTATATAATTTATTCTCTTATTTTTATTTGAATTACAATGTTACGTATTTAAACAAAGCTTTGACGACAACTCAGTGAACCTTATAGTGTGATTTACTGCATTTTGGAATTATTATGGGCCAGGCAGTTTATTTATGAAGCACAGTTCATAGACAGAGGTAGATTCAAAGTGCTTCACAGGGACATTAAGCATGACACAGAATTAAAAGAAATCAGTTTAGAATCAGAAAAAAGAATGTACATTTTCAAAGAATAAGAAGAGTAGAAGAAACTAGGTAAATAGATTAAAAGAGGTAAAAAAACAAAAGGATACATCTGTATAAACTGAAAAAATAAGTTGAAGGAGAAAAATAATACAAATGTAGATAGAAATAGCTACATTATTTGTTGTAAAAAAACACATTTTATACAAAGTAAAAATACAATGATGGTATGACCTTGAAAAATAGTTAAGTCACTTTTTTCAATCTGGTTTTAAAAACTGCAATGGATGGAGCATTCATAAGACCAGCACTGGTTCCAGCACTGCACCGCATAATGTCTTAAATCTGTTCCAGAGGTAGAACATAGTCATGTTTTTCCAAATATGAAGTGTGTTTGAGTGACTGCACTATTCAAGCAAGTTTCCAAGTAATTCAAATAACAAAAATGAGGTCAGAAAAAAGAGGTCAGGCGATCTTACTGCAGTTAGTAGTGATGGATGTAGCCATCAAATGTAATTCAGACACTTAATCATGAACCCTGCATCATTAAAGAAATCATTGGGGAATAAAAATGGGATTAAATATGTCAATATGACATATACCATTAAATTCTATGACTGTGAGCAACTGCTGTCCTGAATTGCCAGGAAAACACCTGGTAATATCCTGGAAAGTCCTTAAGTGGGAAGTTCAACATTTGTTTTTTTAAATACTGGTTGCACAGCTGGGATACAGGAAACACAGTGCGTCATCTATATTCAATATAATGAGATTTGTGGGTCTAGTGTTAATGGCTAAAAGGAACACGTTTACCTGGGTAAGGAATTTTTCCGAAGGTGATGATCTCGTAGAGCAAAACTCCAAAGGACCACATGTCCGACTTGATGGTGAAAGAGCCGTAGTTGAAGGCCTCTGGTGCGGTCCACTTAATGGGGAACTTAGCTCCTGAGGACAACACACACACGCACTTCATTCACATTACCACACTGTTATACAGTTTATCAAAGATTCAATCTAGGAAATCTGAAAATGATGATAAGAAATGAACCATATCAGTAACTCACCCTTCTATACATAACATAACAACAAAGTTTATCAGTTTAATTGCCGTTTTTTTTAGTTTCAGATCAGTGTTTCATCTTCTAATGCAGGGAACTTATTTTCTCTCGTGTCTACCTGCACACAGTTAAGTACCAGACTACTTTATATATCAGTGTCCCAGCCTGGTGTCAGTATAGAGGGAAATAGGGGCCTGATCAATGTGGTGCCCATGATCAAGTGGTCAATGAAACTAATAGTGTCTGGCTTTTCGTGCAAAAATAAATTCAAATAAGTAGGCTATCCTGCGTCCAGCTGCCTGGAGGGGATTTTTATTTGAATGTGTCACAAGCATTCAGTTTGGGAGTCAGTTCGTATGCAATGGAATGGAATATAAAAATACACTAATACAAACTTTACCCTCTCGGGCAGTGTACTCGTCATCCTCTATGACTCGTGCCAGTCCAAAGTCAGCTATTTTACAGAGCAGACTCTCTGAGACCAAAACATTCGCTGCCCTCAGGTCCCTGTGGATGTAATTCTTCTTCTCTATGTATGCCATGCCCTCTGCTATCTGAAACAAACATATAACATGAAAACCAACAGTAAGATGGTCAGTCAATCGGTAAAGAAAAATGAATACACAGTACACAATACTTCAGATATTACTCACTTCATGAGGAAAAAAGAGTGTCTCAATGATATCATGTACATAGAACATAGACAAAAATTACTCAGTCAGTGTTTTTAATTTAGTACCTCACAATTCAGACACTTTTCATTTAGCATTTATTTAATTTCCTAATAACTGTCTATGATACGGTCACTGGATAAAATTATGTCATCTACGATTTGCTGAACTGTTTCAATGTTCTTTTCTAAGTCTTGAGGATACACTCTCGATTTCAATTAGTAAATTACTTCTCCCAAAACAACGTCATGGGAAATGAGTAGAAAATTACTAATTGAAATAAAACACTGCAAATAAGACCAAAAATATGAATCAACCAAATGTATAAAACATACAACGTGAGGGTAAAAATATATTGTCTACCTGCCTATGAAATTAAGAAATATAAAAAAATGTAAGAATTACTGATCACAGTCAGAACAAAGATCTACACAGTTTTACACACAGATAAAGAAACATTTAATCATATCAGTCTTCCTTTGTTTTGATAGACTTGTTGATCCAACCCACTCAATCTTATGTTTTTTACAGAGCAGAAAAGGACCTCATGTGTGTTGAATGTAACGGTGAAGATTCAGATGTGTACTTTTGGTTATTGTTCCCTTTTTATGGAAACAGAGATGATACAACCGTTTTGTTACCATGAAGCAACTGAGCTGTGAGGAATCATATCACATCATGGTCAGAGTGAAAATCACCTGCGCTGAGAAATCGATGAGTTTGGGTAGTTGCAGTTGGGACCCTTCATCGCTCTTTAAGAAGTCTAGTAGGCTGCCTGAAGATAAGACAGAACAGGAAACAATATCAATGTCATGTACAGATGTGTGGTACATCTCTTCTGGTTAGAGGACGACCGCTTTAACCCCTGAACCACAGCCGCCCCAGTGTTAGCACTTCCAGTGGAATTTGTTCTGTTCTGAAACAGTAGGGGAGGTACATTATCTGAGGTCTATCTCAGACCATCCTCCCATCCCTCGATAGTAAAGCATTACGTGCTTCCACATTTTATTCAAAATGTCTCCAAGCAAAAGGATTAGCATACTGTTGACCATGTGACCATTTCTGTGGAAACAGCTGTTTCCTGTTCAGAGAAGTCAGTCTCACACTCTATGCTCTTCCACCCCCTCCACCATTCTATGCATGAGTCGTGTCAGCTTCTTAGCAGTTAACAAAGATTTCCAGTGAACAGATGTTGTCAAGTGTCACTATTAAACTGTGTGTCACCTGTATAACAGAGGTAGGTGATACTAGAAAGAGAGTCAAGAGGGCACAGAAGGGAAAATGAAAGTGGTCCTAACATCGAAGTGGTGCGGTCACAGGAAGACTGTATGCAACACCGATTCGCTGACATTTGCACTTTTTATTAGATGCTTACGATGAAAGACAAATGATATATTTATATGTTATTCCTGCTGCGTTCATTGAAAGTCACCCGAGATAAGAATATCAGCTGCATGTGTCGAACAACAAGCTCATTTACCATTTTCCATATATTCGGTGATGATGTAGATGGGCGGTGTCTTGGTGACAACAGCGTAGAGCCGCACCAGCCTGTCGTGCTGCAGCGTCTTCATGACGTTGGCTTCGTCCATGAAGGCTTCAGCCGTCATCGTGCCTGTCTTCAGAGTCTTCACCGCTACTTTGGTTGTATTGTTGTAGTTAGCTGAATGTGTGGACAGAGAGACGGTGAAATGAGGAATAGAGCAGTGGTACTTTCCATTATTTCATGAAATCATCTGCTTCCCATGCTTTTGTGAAATGCAGCAATTACTGATTTGAAACAGACTACAATTCCGAAAAATCTATTTTTATGTTCAGCCATAACTTTGTAAACAATAATTACTACAATGTTAATCTGACAAACCATTTTTAAATACCATTAAATGTGTAGTCTGTATTCTGATGCAAGATTGAACTATTATGTGTATACCACAATTGTTGTTCGATCTTTTCACAGAAAGTTCTTTTTTCCAGTTTTAGCAACATAAAGTCACACACCATCATTTTAGTCATGGACTCATGCAGTAGAGGCTGAGGTGTCCTACTCCCTAAAATTCCCTAAGTTCCAAAAACACTGGATCTCATATTTGCTACATTGCAGTTCGAAGCCACTATCTTGTTAATGACGCAAATCTATTTGTCTCTCAGACATATTCATCTGTATGAAGGAACACCATCTCGACTAAGTTTGAACTCCTGCAGTCAACATTTTCTTCATGATAAAAATAAATGCTTAATCTCCAACCATGGTCACGATAAACCTGGGTGTCAGCAATCCTTCTATGACCATGTTGAATTTGTCTGTTGTTTGTGACACCTGACTTAGTCCGTTGTTACATATGCTTGTTTAAGGAGCAAATTCTGGATTTCTAGACATCCAGTGAAATACCACAGTCACTGGATCACTGTGTATAATCCTGCTAATCATCATGGAAGACTTTAGAGATGATGAGAAGGACGAGGAGTCAAAAGGGAAAAGAAGGATGAGTGAGTTTGGGCTGATGGTGGCACTATGGTGAAACTGTTTTAATACAAACCTGGACTCTCACTTTGACCGAATGTTCTAAACAACTTCCCCCTCCCTCCTCATACTGATAACTGGAAAACAAATCCAGTTTCTCTGAAACTAAAAGCACCTGTGGTTATTTTCCTACCAACCATGAATGCAAATCATCCAAAAATACACCTCAATGAATTCAATCTCCTATATTTATCCCATTTGAATATATAACCACACGTCTTTCTCTGTGTATTCTGTATTGAACAATATCACTATCAAGAATAAAACAGTGATCCACAGTTGATCAGTTGTGATCTTGTGAAATTGTAAAAAGATCTGTAATACATCTAATGTGGAACAAGAGGAGGAACGTTTTGATTGTCTCTGAAATAGAACTTTCCCCCACATTTCCACTGCCTTGAAATGACTTTGGTGTAATAACAATAACCAAGATGGTGTCTTTACATATAAAGATAGATGACATTACAGCCCCCAAGAGTGAAGCCAAAAGTGTATTTATTGCCCCATGGTGGCTGGTTTGCAATATAGGTCCCACCTCCTCCATGTTTGTGGAAGGGACAGATTCAATTTTTTTCAGTAAATTTAGTTTTAATCGGTTATTAGCGCTATCAAATCATGATTGGTGAAATGTCATGATTGAGAGCTGGGATTGACTTGTGATAAGTCCAGTGTGTCTATTCGACGGGACCTCGCCTCCATGGCTCAACCCCTCGATTGCTACTGCACAGGCTAAGGTGCTCAATGGCAGCGCTCAAAATCTGGGATATTTTAGTCTAATATCTGGACAGTGGGAGGAAGTATCATCCATCTTTATATTCATTCTATGCTCCCTACCTTCTAATCTACCTTTAAACTGTCTTTTTTCAGGTTCCATAACTGAGACCTACTGGAGTTTATAACTTCCACCAGCACAGATGAGTCCTCCTTTTCTAACTTCAACCTCTTTACTCTTGGACATTATAAGCTGTAACTGGTGAACCTTATTGTTAAAATGAAAGTTTTGTTTTTTACTCACCCATCCAGACTTCTCCAAACTGCCCTGCTCCCAGTTTCTTCAACATCTTAATGGACTCTTTGGAAATCTCCCAGGCGTCTTTATCCCACGGTTTCTGGGCTTTGGGCTTTACACATGGGCGGTCCAGTTTACGACACAGGCCATCCGCTTTGTCTGGAAGGTACACGCACGCACACACACATGTTAGAGGATCATAAAGCCTGGAAGTAGGGTTAACAGCCAGCCAGAAGTGTTCGGCAGGATACCAGCAAATAATTCAGTATAAAAGCACAACCTGCCATTTGTATGTTTCTGTTTGTGTACAAAAAAAACAGACGTGCAACATGTATATCAGTAAAGTTTCAAGTACACTACCACTAGTTTATTTTTTGTCTTACGTAACATGTTGATCAATAACAAAATTAATACTTCATACCAAGTTTTGCAAACATAATCGGTGTAGGAGTCAACCCAGGAAGTTATGTTTCGTCTGTTTGTTTATTTGCCTGTTAGTTAGCAGCATTATGCAAAAACCACAGGGACGGTTTAGCACAAATGTTGGTGGAAGAATGTGGTAAGGGTCAGGAAAGATGTCATAAAATGTTGGTGTGGATCGTTTTCTTTAACATTGTGAGATAGTTTTTCAACATTTTCAATGATTTCTTAGAGAAGAACTCAAGGAAGTTGATGAAAAAAAGGAGGCACGTTTATATGACTGATATCTATGAGTGTGTGAAATGTTTTGCAGATGCAAATAAAATTTTGCAATTCAAATCTGGTTTCATGAGGGGACCTTCAGGTCTCGGGGAGGTATGTGCTCGCTGAAAAACTTAAAGGTTCAGTGTGTAAGATTTAGGAGAAAGGGATCTATTGGTACAAACTGAATATAAAACAATCCTCATGGTGTTTTCACGAGTGTGTTTCATCAAAATTGTATGAATTGCTGTTTTCTTTACCCTAGAAGAGGCCATTTACATTTAAATACTTTTACATCAAATACATCAAGGGGGTCCTCTCTATGAAGGCCGCCATGTTTTTTACAGTAGCCCGAACTGGACCAACTAAACACCTTTTTGAGTTTTTTATGACAACTGAAGTTTTTATGACAAAACTACCACAGGTTCTCTCTCATGTTTGGAAGGAGAGGGTGAGGTGAGGGGTATTCAGCTGCAACATGCAACTTCACCACTAAATGTCACTAAATTCTACACACTGTATCTTTAACATCTGTTTTTGTCCTCATCGTGTTTCTCCTGACCTCCGGAAGCTTAACTTCTCTACCTGCTCCAGTGATGAACATGTGAACTTTTTTGCACCTTAGGCTGCTGTTTATGTTCTTTTAGTTCTTTCTTTTGCAGAGTCATACTCACTGTGGTAGTGTTTGATCATGCTGGCAATGTCAGAGAATGAGATTTTCGGTGAGATGTAGTAGCCGCCATTATCCAGCATTCTTATCTTATAGTGTTTGACTGATTCTGTCTTCTGAGCGTCCACGTCTCTGATGGACAATGAATAACTCCCTGTGGGAAAATCAGTTTAGTCATTTCAAATGGTTTCAATGAAGCAGAAGCACGATCTGAAATCCATGACGTGGTCGTGGAGATTGTTGTGAATGTGCTGTTGTGGTTTCTATACCTTTTGATGTTTCGCTCTCCCTGATAAGATAAGAGCCGGGTTTGTTTGCTGGAGACAGCAGCTGCCTCTCTGCATCCTTTCTTGTGATATCCTTGAAAAACCACCTGCAATGAGCAGGAAATACACCAAAAACTGACACATTCCTCATATTCATGATTTTATCTGTTTTTACCAAATGCAGCAGAGTTAATAAAGCATAACACTTGTCATACAACGTATGGTTCAGCGTTCTTTAGCTTGGAACGAAATGTTTGTAAAAGGTTTTTCAGAAAACAAGTAAAAATCAGTTTATTAGGCTGTAGCCACTCACCCTTCTGTTTCGAGGGTGTCAGCTTCGGCAACGTAATTGGAAGGGATGAATCCCTCTTTGCTGGTCGTCAGTGACTTTGCTTTCCACCACTCACCACATCTGCAATAAACATCAACTACGTTTCCTAAAAAGCTCTTGAACTATGGTTTTCCATTAAGTTTCACTTTAGAACAAAAATCTAATAGAAAAACATATTCACTTTTCAGCTGAAACACTCAACTGATGCTTGCAGCGAGTGGAATATAGACACATTTAAATGTCTAAAAGTCTAATGCATCATTCACTGAATACTTCTTCAAACTCAGCCTGAAATATGTTATCATCTTTTGAAACATTTGGATCTTACTTAGAATTTAAATGATGTTCCTGAAGTGATGCAAGAGTCTGTAACGATGGCTCAACTACTGCATCTGTCAGGGTTGAATAGGCAAGTGTGAACTGTACCTGACTCTGACAGTCTCCTCGTGGTTTGCAGTTTTATCAGTGCTCATTTCATAGCTGCTGTAAGCTTTCATCTTTGGTTTTCACCTTACACTGTGCAGTACATGAATGATGGATAACATTTCTGGGAGTTGAATCACTCCAATATCAACATCAGACACTCACTCATCTAAGACTTTCATCTTTTCTCCTTTCTTGAACGCTAAGTCATCTGGGTGCACGGCTTTGTAAGAGTAAAGGCTGACCACTATTTTGCCAACCGTGCTTTGCTCTGAAAGATGAAACAGAAAAAGATATTGACATGTTAAATGTGGTACAGCAAAGATGAATAGGTCCATAACTTAATTATCAACATAATGCAATATTTTATCACTGAACAGTAATGTCAGACAACTGTAAGTCAAAAACCGGATACTTCTTTGTCGTTTTAATTTTACAATGTGGCTTTTCATAGTTAAACTTCAAACTCTCATCATTGGCAAACTAGCACCAGTTTGTGTTAAACTAGCCTGGAAGGTGTAGCTTAGCTATAAGTGTATGTGTTGAGGAAAATTACATTGTGGTGACATTTAACTCAAGGGCTATTTGGTAGAGCCAGAATTGTTTGTATTCATCGATAAGACACCGAGCCTCTGCACTCAAGACCCCTCAGCCTCTGCACTCCTCGTCTGAGGAGCTGACTGGCAGATTCAACGATATGTTTTATATAAATTCTCAAAGCTTCTAATCTCACAATGTTATGAAAAGGATATTTCTATAACTGCTACCACACTGTTTTTATTTCCAATTTGTTTTTGCTCTGATCCTAAATAATTTCATTTTAAAATGTGTAATTATACTGCCTGTTGTAAACTATGTACTTTTTCAACATGTTTTAAAAATGCTGTATAAATAAAGTTCTTATAAAAACTTCAACAACTGTACATATTGGCATTTGTGTATACTTTAAATGTAGAACCCTTAATTTTTACCCTATTGACTTTTTTTTCCTTGTGGGAAATGTCAAACGACCAAGGCTACATGAACTAGGCTCCAGACTTTTTAGAAATGTTTAATATAACCTGTATAAATAAGAAATGTTAACACTGAAACAAACCATCATTTAGCTCTCGTATAAGGTGCCTGGTCTTTCATATGTTTGCAAAAGTAAGTCAGTAAGTAAGTGAAACAAAAAGACAGAAAGAAGGAGACATACCTTCCATCTTTTGGAACACCTGACCAGGTAGCAGGGAGTTAGTCTGCAAAAGCAAACAAAGAGATTTGAGAAGCAGAAAAGAAATGTAAATTCAAACAGCCTCTCTCAAGCTGATGATAGATGTCAACATGTGAGAAAGTGGAGTTCTGTTCATAAGGTAATATCTGAGTCATTGTTTTTCCGAATCAAGGTTGTGTCTGATTTTTAAACTGGTCTGAAAAACTGAAATACTTGGTTTATATTTAAAAATGGTTTTACTTTATGTTAAAAAACACAAATATAATTTAAATTTGATCAGCACCATAACAATCACATAGTGCAATCTTCATTGACTGAAATTTTAGTGTTGCCAACGCCCAGCTGTGACCACTTACCACCTTGTTTTGTGTTTTGGAGGTGGGGTCTCTGACATAGTGCATTCTGCTGGTATGTGCAGTCTGCTCGCTGTTCTTCTGTGCCACACCTCTGTTCAGACCTTCGCTCAGCGTGGACCTTATACAGCCCATCCTGCTGTACGAGGAAGTGAGAAAAGGGAAGTGCGAATAAGACTTTTACACATTTATAGCTGCTAAAACAAACAACACTTAAAAATGTTTGGTATCAAACACCTGTGATGCCTCAACTTTTTTTTAAATGTTAAAATAACACAGAACCAAACCACTGACATTTTCCATTTTCCTCTTTTCATCACCTGTCACAATGTGAGTCAGAGGAAGTTTACATACAGACACAAATTTCCGGTTCTAAAAATATGGAGGAATTCATCAGGAAAGACTGATGGGGCCCAGTTTTGGTTTGGGGCCTTTAGGAGACAGAATAGAGTACATTAAGTACTGTTACTAGTAAGGAGCTGCCACATCTTCTGCCTGCACTGAAACAGTGGGGTCTAACCAGATAATGGCCACAACCAATATGACCAAAACTATACCTTGAATTGGGGAAAGTTATCCTTCTTGTCTGTCATGTTGTAAGGTTGAAGGTTTGAGACCAGGACGTTTGCCTCTCTAAATTCTAAGATGAGAGCGTGGATCTTGTCCCAGTAACCAGTGAGAGTTGACACATATGGGGATTCACGTTTACCCATGGTAAAATATCATTTTTTTGTCTACCAGTCAAGCCGTGAAAAGGAAGCAACTATTCTGGTCGCTTCTTATTCAGTCAATTACCATATTTCCATGGTCAGCAATATCCTGACTGTTTATTCTGAATAAGACATTATATCATTTATGATCTTTACATGAGTTGCTACCAGAAAACTTCATATTCCAGTTTGCACGTCACAGAACATATGTATGATTATGACTGTGTTAGTTATGTCCCCCATGTTTACACTTGTTGCACCAACACAAAACACTCCCATGTAAATGATCAATACAAAAGATTAAGATCTGTGTAAGAACATATCTGGTTATGTGACAAAAGGTTGAAGCTCAAGCATATAAACATAGAAACATTGAGGTAGATCTTAACTGGGACTCCTGAGTTGCATTTATGCAAAAAACATCAACAGTGTTGTTTCATCCCCAGTACAGTGTTTCTGTGTTCGGCAACACAGAGGACATTGTTTGGAGAAAATATTTCAATGGGAATACAGAATAGGGAAACACATTTCTGGAAACAATGGTCCCTCACACTTTTCACCTCTGTAGTTAAGATAAGATCAAACTTTATTGATCCACACTCCAGGAAATCCAGTTATTACAGCAGCATGCAAGTCAGAATGAGGTAGAAATGAGAATATGAATATAAAAAAGGCAAAATAATAAAATTGAAAAATGTATAGATTATGTTCATAATATAGACATTTCACTGTAGTGGTTTGTAAGGAAATGTTATCAAGTAAAGTGCAGTGGATGAAAGCACGAGCTAGTAGAAACAAAGTCATCATGATATTACACAAATCTAAATCTAAGTTCAGCCGATCACTAAAGTCATTGGTATTCATCCTCAAGAGGATATGAATGTGTTCACAAAATATCAAACCAATCTATTCAGTAGATATTAAAATATTTCACTGGAGGAAATTGTGACACTTAAGAACAGTCAAGGGATCACCAAAGACAAAGGGGAACACGAATGACTGGTAGATATTTTAGTATTAACCATTGTGACGCTGCCATTCCTAGAGACACTGATAGCGATAGGTTGTCAAATCATTAATTAAACCTGTTGCTTTAAGGACTCAAATAGCAGCGCAACCTCTCTGGTCCACAGAAAACTGAGGTCATTGTCCTCAAAGATGTTGGGGTGGTGGGTCTGGTGCTGCCCAACTGCACCAGACTGAAGACTATTTGAAGAGTTAGGCACCATCAACCCAAAGGCAGACAGAGAAGGGGCAAACCAGAAAAACACTTACTTGAGCTTAGCCTGTCTAAGTAACCTGGAGGTTTCTGCGATTAAATCCACAAAAAAAACAACTTGACACTCGATTGTGAGCCATTACTTTTTGTGTGAAAATGTAAGTGGATCAAAGTGCTACAACCAACAGCTTTACCGTTTTCGACGAGGTCGTCATGTGTTTCTAGGTTCAGTGCCTCTGTTATATTTTTAACTTGACAGTCAGCAAACAACAGGAAACCAGGGGTCTGAGGAGATTAGGAGCTGGCGCATGTACACACGCACAGACACACACACGCACACAGAGACTCACAGTGTCCTATGCTCTAACAAACATACACTTTCTCCTTTCCTGTGGCTGAGCCAAAATGGAGAGGAAAGAACCCAGTGTGGAATTGAATGTAAGTACTGCAATAGATAAATCTGACAACATTGGGAGCAAAACCACTTAAAAACCTAAAATTGAGTCAAAATGGTTATTATTATTAATTATTAATATTCTAGATATAGGCCTACAGAGATTTAGATTAAGATCCCCATTAACCATTGTATTTTAACAGCGGTTACTCGTCCTGGTTACACTTCAATTTCAGATCCATATCTAATCAAACTTACAACACATAACACAACAACTCAAAACCTTCCTGACAGTTTAATACAAACATCTATCCACACCTCACATTTGTACATACCTCTTTACCCCCTCCCTGGTCAAGGGAACAGTTACTGCAATGTTTAGTCTTGTAGTCCTCAGATTTCCTTTGCGTGAGTCTCTTAAAGTACAGACTGGTTGTATTTGGCTTGACAAGTTGGTCAGCCGCAACACATGGACTGTTACACTCAGCTACTAGAATGAGGAACTTAGAAAAACTGGTTGGGGATTTTTCTTTCTTGCTGAAACTTCCTGGTTAAATTGTCTAATGATTATTTGCATAATCAGCGGCACACAGGCACATACACACAAAGAGGTGCAGCAGGAACATGATCTTTGGGCCCTTTGTATATTAAAACAAGTGTGGTAATATTGAAGAATAAGAGAGTTTTACATTGTGTCATGGAAAAATATATCCAAAGAATTGTGGAGTGACCTGTCACATTTCCATTTATGCTTCTGTGTGTCTAACAGATCCAAACCAATTATTGTTATGATGAGTAAATGTATTGTTATGGTTCTGTTTGAACACATTTTGAGTGTATTGCATGATTGATGGTCAAATGAGATGCAGTCCCCCACAGTGCTGCCTGTTGGCCAAACTGCTGAATTACAACAACACAAGAAACTTGGCCAGTTCACTCTCATCCATTGTTTATTTAACTTTGATCGACACAAGAAGTAGAAAACATGGTTATATACAGTCAGACAAACACCTACACAATTAGCAGAATCATGCATCTGCCATGTGTCTACATGCTGAATTATGAACAGCAGGGTTTAGACAGTGTAGTTAGTGTAGTGCGAGCGAGTCACTATACAGTCACATGGCAGTTCACAATTTGAAAACCTGACGGAATGAGTATTATATAAAAAGGAGCTATATTTACTTGAATATTATCAGCATGAATAAGAAAGATACACAGTCAAGCTGCGGTCTTTCAGTAAGATTACACTCCGTAGAACTGGGGACGAAAAATGACAAAACACAGCTTGTAAGATGCATGCATGGTGGTCGTTATGGAGGATGATTAAGGGATGGGTCCATTATAACACGAAGTTACAGGATGTAGCTCAGCCTCCGTGTCAGAGGCAGAAACCTTCACACAAACATGTTACACGTACTGGAAGCTCCACTGAGTATTGCATATCTACATTTAAGGAACAGTTTAACATTTTGGGAAATGCACTTCTCTGCTTTGAGATGGGAAGATGGAAACCACTCTAACATGTGTATTCTATTCGTATAGCAGGAGCAGACAGCTGGTTGGCTAAGTTTGGCTAACTAGCTTGCTGGCTCATGTGCCATTTCGTCATAAATCAGGACCTGTTTTCTGAAACAAGAAAAACAACAGTAGTGATCCTGTATAATAAGGCTGAAGTTCATTAATGGTAAATGGTAAACAAACTTAGCTAATCTGTGGGCTAATTACTGTTCATTAAAAACACCAGAAAGCCTTCGTTATCCATTCATTACAATTGGAAATCAAATATAAAAAGTCATTAGATAAATTAAGATATGAGTGATTCAAATCAGCAGACCCAGACCTTTACAGCTTTTATCATAGTTTAGCATAAAGACTGCTGGGGGAAACGACTAGCGTGGCCCCATTCAAATATAACAAATGTGGCTTAGCAGTACCTCTTATTATATCTTATTTGTGTAATTCATTCAAAAGATTTGAATAAACCTGGCTAAATTAAAAATGTGTATGAATTAAACAATCATTTAAATTCTTACGAACTGACACTACATGCTAATTATTTAATTTCAAAGGTACAGATGGATTTCGCTGCCTTGTTGCCCTGTGCTGACTCCAGCTCCATATTTAATTTACTGACATGAGAGTGGTGTCAATCTTCACATCTAAATCTCCACTTTAAGGTTATGATTACAATAGTGTTATTAGACGAGTACAAAAGGATTTCAAAAGATACAGTAATACACCATCATCCATATGTCTCCTTTTCTAACTGTATATGTTTGGTGTCACACCACCTTCCTTCCTACTGATACAGTCTGCTGCTTTCTACAGTATAGGCCAGTGTCACATGCAGTACACATCTGAAAATTGTTCATCAAAAACTTTCAACAAAACCAGCAAACACAGCTACGCCTTTCAGTAACTAGACCTCAGTGTTTTTGTTCGTGGTGTTTTCCAACTCTTACAGCGGAGAAGTTCCATTCCCTCTACAGTTTTGTCAATTTAAAAGAAGCACAAGCCATTAACTGGCAATATAATCTCTATCAGCCTCACAAGCTCTACAAACATGCTACTCCCACTGTGACCCATTACATCAGCACGTCTCAGTGGTCTCACAAATTGCTTACACTATTACAAAACTCACACAGGATCTCTTTCTATTTTCTTTCATTCCAGTCGTCCGACCCGTGTGTTTAGTAACTAAGACTGAAGTTCAGCTTTACAGGAGCTACAAAATGTGTCTATGTCCTCACACCGACTCTGAAAAAACACCCTGAAATCAGTCTGTTATTCTACTGCACAGCAGAGCCACAGGGACATGAGAGTTTGTCAGTGCCCTGCTTATAGGCACCTCAGCAGGGGCTGTGCTAGCCTGTGGCTACCGGCCCACTTTAGACAAACGGATTCATCACACATACGTAGCCACACGCATCACACATGTGGGTTAGCTGTTCCTCTGCTCAGCCTCCCGATGTGCTGAGGAGGAGCTCTGGCTGTCCTCCGGGTCGTCTCCTTCTGCAGGGAAATTAGGAAAAGGAGAACATTTTAACTGACATTAAAGAGACCATATCAGTTTTATTGTTGGCCTTTATATACAAACTTTATTTGTAACTCTATTCATTAGCTTCTTGGACTGATGATTGGACTTTTCAACCAAAAAGTCAAATCATTTCACAATTTGATGGAAATCTGACAATCAGGTCACTGCCATTGAGAATTGAATAGCTCAGCCAGATTTGTAATTTTTAACCCAAACAATATAGTGACCTTACAGCTAAGTAATGACTGAATGATTGTTAGTTCAAAATTTTCCATTAGCATTAAGCCCTTAAGTAATGCAGCTAATACACAAAACTTCTTACATATTTTATCATCAATTCAGTGTCAGATCTATTTAAACTTGTAAATGATGATAATCTCATTTTGATTTTGATTTGCTGTGCAGCTTCTGCATATTTATGTTTTTTTTTCAACATAGCTCGTTTCAAAAACCAGCAAGGCTGTCTCTCTTTGTGTAGAATGGCATAGAATATATACAATATAGCCTAACATACAGCAGCCCCACAGTACACCTTTACTCATGCCTGCACACCATCCATAATAAAAACCCAGTAAAATGGCTGTCAATTCCTGTCAATTTGGGAAATCCATCTATTATGAGAATGAAGAAAGTGGGAGTAAATAACAAGCAGCATTGAATGGTATCTTTGAAGAACTTAATCTGCACCTGTAGTTCACAACATAAATACTTTTATTCATTGATGTTGAACTTTCTCAAAGGAAACTTCAAATTTGGCACAATGCAACAGGACAACTCTTACAAAAGTTTGGCTCCTTTTGTTGGACAGTAAAGAACTTGACTCTTGAGTACACATTTTGAGAATTGCAATGAGAGTTCACTAGATGACTTTCATCTCAACTAGGTCCAATCATGAGCCCAAATTTGTTCATCATGACACTTTCAGAATCAGCTGAAATATCTTGTAATCCTTGTAAAGGATCATCATCATAATTCTCATGGACTGGCTTGTATTTGGTGTATAAATGGGGCAGAGTCATGGTAAAATGTATGGTGATGAAACATTGTGTATTAAACAGCCTAGAAAAATAGAAATGCAAACATGAAGAAGATTGTGAAGGATACTAAATTGTTTAAGGGATTGTAGCTGTTCTACTGCCATGTGTGAATACAGTAGTATCTTAGAGTAGAAGACAGTAGTTCACCTCCCCCTCCTGCGTTGATGTGCAGCTGGGACAGAGACAGGGTGAGCGGCAGCTCTCGTCCCTCTGGGTCGGTGGGACTCTGTAGGATGTCATGCATGGCGTTCCTTCGTCCCGTCCTGCCAGAGGCAATGAAATCTGCATACGTGGCCTCAACATCAGACATCGCTCGGGCATCGTTCACACAGCAACACCTGTGAGAAAAACAAAAACAAAACCCACACCTCATGTGGTTGTTCGCCATATGTTTCTAACATGTAAGTGTATTTGCAAATTATTGTCCAAACATTGTGAAGCCAGTGATTTCACAGTAAAATTGAATGAAGCTGCATATCCTGTGACTTTACACACATGTAGATATTTATCATGAGAGTACTAAGACTACATTTTAAACCCTGATTTGATGATTTCTGTCATTTTAAACCTGCAGTTCTTTACACTGCACCAGAACCATCAGCTCTGATTTTCACAATTCTTTTTGGACATCTTTACCACATGAAGTATGTCATGCTAACCCAGGCTGCCATCCCATAATTAGGCCCACAGGTCAGGTATCATGTAAAGCTGGGCCATGACGTCTAAACGCATTGTTACTGTATAATAATGGGATTTGCATTGCATGTAGGGGTCTGGTTTCAGCATCTACTCACCCTCAGTGACAGCTCCACCAGTGCAATAGCCCCGAGCTACATTACCAGGGAGTGACTTCACCGACAATTCAGAGCGACGGGCCCGACATCACATCAGCCGACCTACCGGATATATCCGCACAATGAAACACACGCGCATAGAAGAGCAATCACCGAGAGCGAGCAGCGACCACAAATCCAACCGCCTCACATGACACAGCGAGTCAGCGCGTCAAACACAGAGAGGCGACATGAATCCCATCAGCAGCTTCGACGAGTCCTCGATCCGCTCTCATGGCCGCCACATCTTCCTCCTCCGCGACCAATCAGCGGCCCGCAAACCGCATCCGAGCGCTGATTGGACAGGAGGCACAAAAGGATGAGAGGAGAGCAGCAGCATCATGATGCCTTCACCGTCATCTCGTAAAATCTGCTTTTCCCCTGTGATGGTGGCTGTCTTTTTCCTTAAACTTTATTAATATCAACTTTAAGAACAAGGCAGGTATGTGTCCAAATATGTCTACATACATGTGCAGATGAATAGTAAACAAAACAAAATTAACAATAGGATATAAATAGTGTTTAAGAGAAAGAGGGGAAGAGTATTTTATTTCCACTGTTGTATTCATTGAATAGATTTGTTAATTTTACATTACCTATGAGTTGTGATGTCCTTTATTTACTTCAAATTCAAATAAGAAAGTCGATGATGTGGTGTATTATTTCCCCTGTGTGTAAGTGGAATTGGCCTTTGAGGATCAGCAAATGTACAATCATCATGTCCAAATGTGTTATGACAGTCATCACTCTGAGTCAATGTCAAGATTAATTCTACATGACATATGATGTTGTCGTTAGCTGCCGGGCTGTCTTCCCACCAGCTAAAACAGACAAAGCTTCAGCAAAGTGTCACCTAATGAATTAAAAGGCAAAAGTCTACACTGTAGTTTTAATGGAACCCGTAGGGTAACATTTGCCTACTGATTCATTTTTGTGTAAAGTTGTGAATATCTGTTGATTAAATGATTAGTCAGTTGATGGAGAATTTATCAGGGGCATTTTTTACTGTCAAATAATTGTTTCAGTCAGATTTTGTTCCCAGCTTCTCAAATGTAAGCACTTACTGCTTTTTCCGGTCTAATATTACAGTACATTTAATATGGTCAGAAAAATTTAAATCTGTTGCGTTCACTTATGAAACAAGTAATCAAGTGATTTATAGAATATTTGACAAAGCTTTTTTAAAGATTTTGGTGTAAAAGTGGAAAGACTTGAAGGGAACATCAAAGTAGACTAACTGCAGTCGTATAATCAATGATCACAGTTTTATGAGTTTATATATTTATATACTTTTTATTGCTACCACAGCTGTTGAATTTACAACCCACTGCACCGTGTGTTGGTGTGGAGGGCAGACCATCTAAGGTACAGCTAAAATATTATTCAGAAAAAGAATGATTTTTATCTAATATAGTGTTTATAAATATGTATTAGTGCCACTCTATATTATACAGTGAGCTTTCAGTATCCAGAGGGAGATAACATCAAGTTGCTAACCTCTGGATCCTTTAATTAGAAGGAAAAACATATTCTCATTCAACTTCGATGTATACATTTCTCTATAGAGATGTTTCTGGATAGGATGAGATGCTGTGCACTCGGGACACACTGTGCATTAGTGCTAAGGACATTCTCTGCCATGACGTAAAGTTAGACTGGAAACAATCGTGTGTGCATTATTCCTTCTGACCACATGGTGGGGCTCTTGTCAGCATGAATGAATGCATCGTTTTGTGACTACTTGTCTTAAAGCCAAACCTAGAGGCTTCACTGCTGTTGTTAGACAATGAGGATATTGTGAGTGTTGTGTGTCGTATGTGTTGTGTCGTATTACGAAATCATTTTATAATGTAATACAATAATGTGAGAGTTAGTTCCGTCACATCCAGCAACAACAACAGAGTCGCAATGTGTTTCCTCTTGCAACAGAGGATATGGATCAACTACTCTGACTAAATGTCTGAGTTCAACACCAAATTTCATGTTGTTATAAAAAGTTATTTAACAGCGCTATGCAGGGATGATATGTTTTTATGTATAATTCATCATTGTACTGAAATACCCGTGTATTTTAAAGAGTAAATGAACACCCACTAAAAATCTTTTCTTCTCACTTTGCTGCAATGACGTACACTTGTCCTCCATGACCCAGTGACATCACTGCTGGGTGAGGTTCTAGGCACAAAAGAGACTCGCAAACATTTCAGCCACCAACTTAAAAAAAACAACCTGTGACTGCCTGAAAACGGTATCATACAAAAGATATTGATTTTAGCTAGTTTGAATCACCTATGTGCACATGTTTCAATGTTTTCTGTGATTATGTAAATTGACTTTCTCCAGTAATGATCTCAGGGGTCATGTGGAACAAAGACAATTGGAAGGCTGATGACATTTGTATATTTTCATAGTTTTCTTTAAAACCTAACTTTTGATTCTCTGTCAATGGAGATAAAGTATGGTACTTATTATTGTTTTTTTAATTTGATTGGCTCCAACTCCTAATTCAGGACCAATTCAACAGAGGCTTCAGATCACGCCCATCAAAACACTGCTTTTCAGCGTTATGTTAAATTGCACAGTACAACTGCACAACAGCATTTGTGTTTTACACAATGAAAAAGTATGTTGTCAGTCAGTGAGTCAGCATTAGTAGGATCCTTTCAGAGTTATGATTACTAACTTATACTAATGCTAAACTAATAACAAATCATAAAAACAGCAGGTAAAGCTAACAAAAAAAACAATGTTATCAATGTTGTAACAGCCACAAGTGCAGCTAGGCACCAGTGTGAGTCTCAGGCTGTGTTGCTGTGGAAACATGTTCTTAACTTTAATACTCGTGGCGCAGGGATTCAGCACAACACATCTGGGCAGTTGTGAAAAGGATTGTGAAAAGGAGCAAATAGTTGAGATCAGATATCTCCCACCGCTTCAGAAGCTGTGTGGAGCCTCTTCACTGTTAGCTGTGTGCTGGTGGCAGGATCCACAGAGGCACAGCTCACTTCACTGGTTCTTTACACTGCTGTGCAGTTCCTCTCTGTAATCCTTTCCAGTTGTTTGCTGTAACTGGCTCCTCCACAAAAAACCTGCAGACCATCCATGATTACTGCATTGAAGTTGCAGCATTTAACAATTTAATTGATATACATATTGTGATTCAAGTCATATCTAGCTGTTTGAGAGCAGTATAAAGTTGCGCCCCCCCTTTCTTCTCTTAGTGGCTGAAATGCGTATGTTCAGTAGGATTGACAGCCTTTCTCTAACCAGTTCTGACAAACCCATTGGCCGAGGACACTCAAAAATACTTTTTTCATGATATAGAGCAGAAATAAAAAATACCTTTTATATAGAGGGGTTTCATGCTCAAGTTTCATCTTTTAGAGGAAAGAACAGTGGTTTCACACTGAAGGTACAGTATAATCTAGTGACATCTGAAGTTGAAGTTACATGTTGCAGCTGAACACCCCTCACCTCACCCTCTCCTTCCAAACAATTAAAAAAAAACCTGTGGTAGCTTCAGTTTTCATAAAAACTCAAAAGGTGTTTAGTTTGTCCAGTCTGGACTAATGTAAAAAGCATGGCAGCCTCTGTAGAGAGGACTTGTCCTGATGTAAATATAAAGTATTTAAATATAAAGGGACCATTCTAGGGTAAGGAAAAATGTGTACAGTTTAGATGGAACACACTTGTGAAAACATCTCTACAATTATTTTATATTGAATTTCTGCCAATTCACCTAAAACCTGTAAAATATAACATTCTAAATTGTCCAAATCTTTAAAAGGGCATTTTTTAAGGACATTAAGTGTTTTTTTTTTCCTCATTGTATTTGTAGTGAGGCTATTATTTGAAAAGCTTTTTAAAAAAAAAACATTTTTAGATAAGTAATAGTGCAAGTCAAATTTGTTGGTTGAGAAGACCAACCGTCATTTACCCACAGAATCCTTAGAAATGATCACCTGCAAATAGGCACAGTCCACTGTGATACATATAATTAAGAGACTTTAATGTGGAGGGAGATTCATGCACATACTGTATATCAGCATAATCAAGTGCAGACATGAGATTCAGAAGAAAAAACATGTCATGTTTTCCTTAATGGTCTTAAAAGTGCATCTGTTCCTTGTGAGATAACATTAATATTCTGACCTATCCCATTCAAACTCATTTGTATCTGCAAATACTATGTTTTTGTTTTATATGAACATAATGTGCTGTTGTAATTGTTGTGATTGACGCACAAATACCAATCACATCAGTTAACTGCTCTCTGACGTCATCCTTTTTTGTTTTCCATCAGGATTTTTGAGTTTGAAATAATAATGTATCTGTTTCTATCAGGCAGCAACAAGATTGTGATCTGGTTTAAAACAAAGAAAAAAAATAGACTCACTGTTATGACCCGTCTGATGGTGTAGTGTCTAGGGCCTAACACTGGCAGAGCAGGGTGTGTGGTGTGGCAACACAAGTAAACAAACTAAGGTTTGGGTAAAAGGAATAATAATTTATTATACAAAAGGAAACGCCACAGGGAACAAGGGAACTATGAGCGGTGCCCAAGCAAAGAAATCATAAATCAAAACGTGCAGTCCTAATCTAGTGCAGCAACACTCTGAGCTATCACAGAAACCGAATCCTAAACTACTCTACACATAATAAATACATGGTGTGGCACCTACTCCTTACATAGTGAATTGTAACAGGTGTAAGGCTACTTGGTGGGAATGTAGACCCATGGGTGTCTTCCCTGTTCACCTTTCCCCTGTGCATGAGGCAAAACTGAACAAAAACACTGCACCGAGTACAGACCACCAAACACAGAAATAACACAACTCTGCACTCACACACACCATCCTCCAGCAAACAACACAGAAAACACAGAAAACAAACAACAGCACCTCTCTCCCTCCCTCTCTCCCTCCCTCTCTGCCCCTCAAAAGAGCCTCACACACAAACACAGCACACATATATGGGTGGCGGTGGCGCCCTCTGATTGGCAGACAGGGCCAGTGGGATGATTGGACACAGGTTGGCTTGATTGACTGATCACCTGGGGAGAAAACAGAGGAACAGAACAGAACACACATACACCACACTGACACAAGAGGGGGACGTAACTCACTACGATTATTAGCATTTAACCAAAACCACAATCTTTCACTGAATAGAACCAAAATACTTTTATTGCCAAACCACAGAAGGACTCTGGACCCATCATCCAACCCAAGTATGAGCTCAGTGCAGTTTGTT